TCTCTATTTTATCTTTTAATTAATTTTACAGGAGATATCACACTTTAATCTGTTTATGTTATGGGCTACTGAGGAGCTAAATCATGCCTTGACTTTGATTTTTTTTTTTTTTCCCAATAAAAAGGCTAGATTTTTCTCTGTGACAGAATGACATACAAACTAGTATTTCACTGTTCAAAGAAAAGATCAATTTAATGTTAATTTACAATGTCACAGATTCAATAGACTGTATTTTGAAAACAAAAAAGCAACACAAAAAAAAATATGACATGTTACATTTGAAAGTCATGATGTAGTTCATGTAAGCCAAAACTTTTTACTTGCCAACTAATACAGTAGAGATGCATATTTTACAAGTCACAGGTGTTCATCATGCACATTATGAGATACGAATATATTTTATTAGGTAATTTTTTTTTACATGATTATGGTCCCATAAAATACATTTCCCCTCACCAAATACACCTGAACTAGAGATGAAAAAAAATTCCAAAAAGTTCACTTGTGGTTCAGCCAATATTTTTAAAAAATGACAGAACATGTAAAATATGGAAGTCCCTGGCTGCCATTCTGGGTGGGATCAACTGTTATCAACTGTTGATCCCAGCTCTGTCTCTTTTCACTACCTACCTGACAATTAGGGTACACAGTAAGTAATGCCTTTGATCAGCAACCTTTCCTATAATTAGTAAAAACATCACTTTGTGTTCATACCCCTTGAGGGTATGTGAACCAGATGCTGGTTGTATACAACTGGATCTCTGAATAATTAAAAAAAAAATAGAACCATATTCTCTGCATTATGGAACCTGAAATTATAGTAGAAGAATTGGCTTTACGTCAGCAGACATGCACATAATATTGTAACTTTTCCTGCATTCCTCTACCAGAATTCCCTGCTTTGATTGCACTAAAACAACAGCAAAAATCTCACTAATTGTGGCTAATTTGTGTATTCGGATTTGCTACTTAAATTTTAATCAGCTGGTACCTTTTGAAGACATACTGGAATCAAATATGAAGTGTTATGATGATCATGGTTATGAGTTCCATAGTTTTTTGAAGGGGTATGGGGGAATATTGTACATTAGGGGGGAGATTTATGAAAGCTGGGGCACTCAGAAGCTGGTGCAGCTGTGCATGGTAGCCAATCAGCTTCTAATTTCAGATTGTTCAATTTAGCTTTGGCAATAAAACTTGGAAGCTGATTGATTTCTACGCAGTATCCAAGTTACATCCAATTTTGCACACTCCATTTTTAGTAAATAACCCCCTAAGTGTCTTTAACCACTTGCCCACCAGAGGATTTAACCCCTTTCCTGACCAGGACATTTTTTTGCAATACGTCGCTGTTTTACTTTAACTAAAAATTGCACGGTCATGCAACGTTATACAGAATTTAAATCTATGTCCTTTTTTTCTCCACAAATAGAGCTTTCGTTTGGTGATATTTGATCACCTCTGCGTTTTTAATTTTTTGCCGTATAAACAAAAAAAAGACTAGCAATTTTGAAAAAAACCCACAATATTTTTGACTTTTTGCTATAAAACATATCCAGTAAAAAAATTTAGAAAATCAAATTTCTTCATAGATTTTTGCCAATATTCTGCTACATGTCTTTGCTAAAAATCCCAATACATGTAAATGAATTGGTTTACATAACAGTTATAGTGTCTACAAATGACAATGTATATATACTGGAATTTTTATTTAAATTTTGTTTTTACTAGTAATGACGGCAATCAGCGACTTATAACGGGACTGCAGGACTGTGGTGGGCATTCTGACACTGGAAGAGAACTGACTAACTGCCACTGACATCCCAATGACCCTAATGCAGTGATCAGTGCTAAAAAAAAGCACTGACACTGTACTAATGACACTGGCCGGGAAGGGGTTAACATCCGCGATGATCAAACGGTTATTTGTGTGCTGTTTTACTGTATGTGCTGTGTGTGTTTTACTAGGGAGACATGCTTCTTTGTAATACAAAGCAGCATGTCCTTGCTGGTAGGAAAGAGACCTGTGTATATACACAGGTCTCTCCCCTATCAGCTTTCCCCGACAATCGCCAGACCAGGACCCGGAGATTGGCATCCTAGCCACCAATGTTGGCGCGAGTAGGCGGAGCGCATGCTTCCTACTTGGAAATGCAAATCACGTATATATATATATATATATATATATATATATATATATATATATATATATATATATATATTTATTTATCGAGTTTATATAGCGCCAAAGGGTTTGCTCAGCGCTGTACAATAGAGGGGGGGACAATACATGAAACAGTACAGTAACATCAAACAGCACACAAGGGGTAAGAGGGCCCTACTCTTTCGAGCTTACAATCTAGGAGGGAGGGGGTAGTGGTACAGGAGGAAATGGCTGTGGAGGATGGAGTGGTAGGAGGAGGGAAGGGCAGCTGCTGTTAGGTGAGGGTGGGGTAGGCTTCCCTGAAGAGGTGGGTTTATATATATATATATATATATATATATATGATTTTGCACAGACCTTTAACTATAGGGCGGCAGGCAAGCGGTTAACCATTTATCCATCATTTGCTTTAACCTCTGCTTACAATGTAAATTCTCTCTACTGCCATAGAGCTGTGCATCAGTAGCCTGATTCTGGGTGCATTTCTGTGAGTAAAAAGTAAAAAAAGGTGAAAACTATTTTTGTAGTCTGTAGGTGTCCAAATGCCAATGCAGCTGTTATGATCATGATTTCTCTTAGGCACTATGAACTGAAATATAAAATAAATATGTGGTTAAGTGTGACTATGAACCAAAAACCTGCACATTTTTCCAGCTAATTAGCTAATCAGATATGAGTTCAACACCTAAAAAAAAAAACTTCTATTGCATTATTCCATAAAAGGGCAGTTTGTTAACTGGCAGTAATTCTGACAGAATCAGACAACAGTTTGACATTGAGTTTGTAATCCTATGGATTTCGGAGCTTTTTGTGTATAGCCCTAGAACTTTCATTTTCATCTAATAACCGTACAGTTTGCAAATAAGTGTACACCATCCCCTAACAATTATTATGCATTTATCTGTGTTTTAAATTTGCATTTTACCTTCAATCACCAGCTGTGCAGTTAATTGTGAACAGTGGAATTTTGAAACTGCATATTAACTAACACTGTTGATCACATTTGAATATGTTTTATATGTGTTGTTTGAACTTGTTGGCGTTTTGTGAACAAGCTGTGTCCTTTATGCCCTCAAAACAGACTCATTTTGTTTGGGCACCAACTTTTCTGAAATGATAAACCATCTGTTCAGTGGGGTTCTGCTATTAAATTATTAAAGTTGTTAGGTCAGAGATAGTGGATTACCATTCACAATTGTGTTTGTCACTGGCAATATCTTGTTCTAATATCTGATGTCAATCTAGAGTCGTTTGAAAACTTTACTGTTGTGTACCAATATTAAAATGTATTAGTAAACTATAATATAAATCTCCGGACAATGCTTACACTGACCATGAGCAGAAGGACAAATGAACACATTTCTTAGAAGACTCTCTTATTCAGTTACATAGTATCTCTTACTGTAACCATACCTACAACATTGTATCACATCATCAGCATATACTGTATATATTTAAAATCAGCTTCACAACTATTGATATATTCTGAATGAATGATAAAATCCTTAATTTACTACAAGCGATCTCACACAAGAGTCGATCACAGATTGCCAGCTAACTGGAAAGACGTATTAAAATGAGTGCGCTGTACACTAAAAAATCATAAACAATAATAAATCAAATAAATACTGCTACATAAAAAATGTGCATACATTAATTGAAATGATATAAGTCCACATTCATATATTAAATAATAAAAGTCCCAAAATCCAATAACACAGTGCTATGTGTTAAAGAAATCTTCCAACGGAAAGTGCATAGGTGTTCACAAATGCTTGACACAAAAGACAAAATCGGCCTCTTACCAGACACTTTGATCTCCAATTAAGAGGTCAAATGAACAGATGGTATTCAGATCCCGCACTGACACCCTAGTTAGCCGTATTAAGGAGATGAATAAGCGATGAATGGACAACTGCAGGTTCACTTGAACGAATCCATTACATCAGACAGCTCTCCACATCATGCAAGGAAAGGTTTAAAACAGAAGAAAGAAAATGTCATAGTGCGACACAAAAAAACCAGCAAAAAATGTATTAAAGTATTGCACTTACATAGATAAGGTGCACAAAGGCAGTGTAAACATTTAAAATGCCCGCGGTGTCAGACCACCTGCCAGAAACAAGATGACGTCACAGAAAGCTCCGCCCGGAGGAGGATTCCTTTAGCACACAGTACTGTGTTATTGGATATTGGGACTTTTAATTATTATATGAATGTGGACAATTAATTTATGCACATTTTTTATGTAGCAGTATTTATTTGATTTATTATTGTTTATGAATTTTAGTGTACACTGCACTCGTTTTTATGTGTTTTGTATCTTCTGTGTTCACGGAAAGAGTAGCAGCAGTTCACTAATTGTTTCACTATTGTTTCAGAATATATATTTTTTTCACACTTTTATTCACATATTGTATTGTCTGGGGTGTAGCGCAGGTTTTTTTTTCCCTTTTTTTTTTAACTGGAAGGACATGATGTGCCATGTATTAAATTCCGTGTGGAACCTAAGGGCTTAATTCTTCACTCTGTGTGAAAATGATGTACTATCCTGTCTTCAATGATCCTCCTCCTCTTCTTCTGTCCCCAATCCATCTGCTGATGGCATTGGGGGCCAGCTGCACATGCTCAGTTTGGTGTGTATTGCTAGAAAGTTTTTTTTTCTTGGGAGAGTGCATCTGATCAGCACACAGCCAATCAGCACTGTCTAGACAGAGGGTCAGAGGTTATACAGCCTCATAGGACAATCAGGGGAGAAAGAAAACTCCTCCTACAAGCTGTAACCAGTGTTCTGCTAAACACTGATAGAAGTCAAACGACTGCTCTAACTGTTGATGATAAAAAAAGTATGTAGCAGTTTATATTTACTAAAATAATTGCATTTCCATGTTCTGTGTACTGTGGGAGACCAGATATAGTGAATGTCCTGGGTTTAGTAATACTTTGAATCCAACAAGGCCTGACAACTGCTTCAATCGATTTGAGGTTTTTTTTTTTCTGAAACAATGTAGCAATTCTTTAATATGATATAAAAAAAAAATAACCATTACAGATTAGTAATATTTTTGAGTATGGCTTTGTAAATAAAAAATTTGTAGATACTAAAATAATACTTTTATTATTATATAATAAAACACAAGTGGACTTCTACTTCAGCAGTGACATAATAATATAAATATTACTTCGACAAAAATGTAAAGTTCTAGCTAAGCTCACTCTAAATACTCTTTGCATGATTTCTATGTGCTTAACCACTTGCCTACCGGGTACTTTTACCCCCTTCCTGCCCAGGCCAATTTTCAGCTGTCAGCACTGTCGCACTTTCAATGACAATTGCTTGGCCATGCAACAATGTAACACATACCCAACAATGCAACATGTACCCAAACACAATTTTTATAATTTTTTTAGACAGATGGAGCTTTCTTTTTATGGTATTTAATCACCACTGGGTTTTTTTCATTTATGCTAAACAAACTAAAAAAGACTGAAAATTTTGAAAAAAAACTTTTTTCTTAGTTTCTGTTATAAAATTTGGCAAATAAGTAATTATTCTTCTTCACTAATGTACGCTAATGAGACTGCAGTGATGGACACTGATAGGCTGAAATGATGAGCACTGATGAGGCATCACTGGTGGGCATTAACAGGCATCACTGATGGGCACTGAAAGACAGCACTCATATACAGCATTGATAGGTGGCACTGATGGCACTGATGGCACTGATTGGAACTGTTAGGTGGCACTGACAGGGCACTGACAGCACAGCAGTACTGACTAACACTGATAGGCAACACTGCTGGCACTGGGCACTGACAGGCGGCACTGACTGGCACTGATAGTTGGCACTGAAAGTCAGCTTTTATAGGCACTGATGTGGCATTGGTGGGCACTGACAGGTGACAATTTTGGGCACTGACAGGTGGCACTGATGGGGCTACACTGATCATCAGGGCACTGATCATCAGTGTACATGTCCCCTCTGGACATGTACACTTACATGCTTACCGGCTCTCCTCTCTTCACGTCAGTGTGAGGAGAGGACTGCCGATAAGTGACTCTTCCTATTTACATGCAGTCAGCTCTGATTGGACACAGCTGATCACATGATAGAGCCAATTTCATTGGCTCTTTACTGTGATCGGTGATCTGCTGTGTCCCAGGTACACAGCACACCACGATCGCCATGCTGCATGCTTCTGGGGGTGCGCATGCACAGCTAGAGTGGGAGAACGTCGTATGACATCCTCCTGGAACGAGAGAACTGCCGCCCACCCATCATTTCCTTATATAGTAGTAGGGGGGAGGCAGTTAAAGTCCAATTGAATACACACAAACAATTGAATATTTGTACATATAATGTCATACTTGTGATGAAGTATGTGTGTAGAGCAATGGTTATCAAGCTATGAGCTATATGGAGCCTTAGCTGTAGCCCCTGAAAACAATAAACATGAAAATAACACTCAGTATATGTAATTTTATAGAAGACTGTCTAATCACAGAAATACAGAGACCGGGGATTGGTAACATGGGACCAGTGGTGTAGAGTATGGAGCACTAGAGTGTGAGAGCATGAAGTTGCATTTCTAGCGAGAAGTAAGGGTATTGTATTACATTTCCAAGCAGTAATCCGTCCCAAATCACAGCATGTGTGGGTACAGGACTACAACGGCTTGGGAGTTCAGTTTTATTTCCCTCTGTGGTCACTGTCTCAGTGTTGAAGGTTTCCTCAAGTTGCTGCAGCTTTCTCCAGGATGGGTTTTGCAGTTTTCTCTGAGATTGGTAACATCTGGATTTTGTCCACATTTTGCAGGAAACTAACGTGCTGATTTTGCAGGTGTACACAGCCTTTTTAGTCAAGGGGTTGTCTATGGTTCAGGTTTCCTTTCCTAGTGACAAGCTGCTGCAGAAATAGTGGTTGTGAATAAACACTTCGAAATTGTCTACCCTGGCCCCAAGCGAGGTGATCTAATCTAACCAGTCCATTCCCTGAAGAGGTACTAAGATACTGTATGTAATCGGGCAGGAGCCTGTGTAGTCCAAGTTGGGCAGTTTGTTTGTCACAAAGCTGGATGTGATAATCTGGTGAGTCTGGTGGGTCAGTGACTACAGAGCCTGGATAATCAGAAAGCTGAAAAAAAATATCTGTTTTCTGTTTCACTGAGATGCTGAAAACCCCATGTGAATGTAACCTTCTGTGAGTTTTATGCTTTACCTTTTAAATAAAGAGGCAAAAATCCCTGAAATCCACTTCACTGACTGGGCCAAAGTTGAAGGAAAGCACTACGTTTTTCTGAACTCGCATCAGATCGTACTAAGTCAATATATGGTAACAATACTTGTAAACTAATATGGTAGCAGGAGTTAAGGACTTGGTTGTATTTTTTGTAAGGCACTTGAAAGCCATTGGTGTACTAAATGTGAAACAAATAGGTTTTATTCTACTTCTTTTGTATACAAATAAAAAATGTTCAATGCAGTATCAGACATATTATTGTCAAGTAAAGTCAAATGTTAATAGCTAATGCTTTATTATTGTGATGGCCTTCATTAGCTAAAACATTGTATTAACATTTATTGAGAGTTAGTGTGATGAAAATCTGGCCTTGTCCTTTATTTGCTGGAAATCACCTTGAGACTTACTAATACAGGTTTGTGGACTAAAGTTATTTTAAAGCCTTTATCGTTTTGTTGCCGTTGTATTGACCTTGAGGTCAGATTATTTGTGGAAATTAACTTGTACTTGACTTTCTCAGGATTTCCAGTTATCTTGCCAGATTGTTTACTCTGGAGAAATGAACGCTCTGGTTTTATTATGTTCTCTATGAAAATAACACATTTGCGCTAAATAAACAGCACAAGTACCATGTTTAGGTCTGCAAAATACAGCAAAAAACTCCAAAAATAGAGATAAGAGGCAGAAGACAATTATTTTTCAAATTAATATCTCCAAGGTTCCTGTTGCATCAACACAGTACAAGCAGTCAGTCATATTGTAAGATTTTTTATTTAAAATAACTAATAATTATAAGGGTTCTTCCAACTAAATGGTTGTTCTGTACTTGGAATAAAAGTTGAATTTATAATATATGCCTTAGTGGGTGGGTAATAAGTTTAATATACACAGTATAGGGGCATTCCTGGCCGTAGAGATGTGAGGAGCGCTATATAGAAGCTCCAGTGGCACCGCTCTTGTTATTGCTATCCTGCTGAAAAATGCAAGCTCGACATCCAGCTCTTTTTTAAAGATCCTGAGAGCCGACAACCCACTCCACATGATGTGATGGTCAAGATCAAGCATGGTGCTCCACAGCCTCCAGGAGACTGCTCTCCTTGGACCTCACACTGCACCAGCAAAGATGGATGTGGACCTGCGGTTCCATGTGCTCTCCCCCATTCGCATAGGGGAGGTGATTACTGACCCTCAGGGATGTTATATTATATTAGTCCTCTGTTGCCAAGATGTGTAATATACCCTGTTCAATGTGTATATGCCTTCCCCTTTGACTCAAAGAGATTACTCGCCTGTTTGTCTAGTTTACTTCACCTAGCCAAAGGTGCTATTTTTGTTGCTGGTGACTTTAATGCAGTAATGGATCCATCTATAGACAGGCTGAGGGATTTCTCTCGTTCTTCTACATAGGCTTTACAGGACTGGGTTGATGGCTATGGGACGGTGGATGTCTGGCGGTGGTTGCATCTTGGTCCTAGAAGTTACCTCTGTCACATGTAGCCTATTTACAACAGGTTGAAACAGCCATTACCTTTCTAGGGCCTTGCTCCTCTACAGCTAAGCATAAATATAGATTGAGCCCCAGCCTTACACACATAGCAGATGAGTCCCTTTTGGCTTCCTGACCATATAGTGCTGTATACACATCATGATGACATGAAAGCTTATTGGCAAGAGACTGACCAGGATGCACCCCCAAGACTGCAATGGGATGCCTTTATGGCAGTCCTGAGAGGCTCTTATATATCTGGAGGTTTGGCTCTTAAAAAATAGTTCTCTCATAAACTAGTATATTTGGAAAACAAATATATCTCTAACCCATCTACACATAGCTATCTTCAATAGAAAGAGGAACAGAGAGTCTATAATATTACTTTAAATGATAAAACACAAAATGCTTTTGTATTACGGACATGTTTTTAAATCAAGTGACAAAAATAGTTGTCTGTTGGCTTTCCTGGCCAGGCCAATACAAGAACTTATTACTATCCCCATAATTTTAGATGGTAATGGTACTCTCTATACCTCCATGGAGTAAATAATGCATACGTTTTTACACTTTTATAAAGATCTGTATACTTCTATGGCCACCTATTGTTCAGATGACCTTGTGGGGTACCTATGTGACATCCGGCTTCCTACTTTATCTGTGTCAGACAATTATTGGATGGCCTGATTACTTCTGAGGAGATTGATAAAACCTTGGGTACATTTGCGAAGCCAGGCTTGGACAGTTTCCTCATTGAATGGTATGTGACCCATAGGGAATACCCTGATTAATTATTCTTTATGATGCTATCCTGAAAGACAAGATTTTTCCCCCTTCAATGCGAGTGGCCTTAATAGTGCTGATCTCCAAGCCTCATAAAGATTTGCAATTCTGTGTGTTCTTTCGTCCCATATCATTAATTAATACAGACCTTAATTTCTCTCCAAAATTCTGGCTCTCCCCCTTAACACTGTTGTAGCTTTTCTTATGAAGTCAGATAAATCTGGGTTAATTCCTGGATGCTCCACTAATTTCAATCTCCACTTTTACTAATCTACAACTGCCGAATGTCATAGACTCCCCTAGAGCATTGATCTTTAAGTATAACTCATTTGATTTAATAGCGTGGCCCTACCTGTTCCATGTACTTCAGAAGTTTGGCTTTGGGAAGCTTTTTCGTATGTGGATACATATCCT